ATCGCCCATCCATAAAAAAAAGTGTTTCACACGGCTCCGGGGGGTGAAAAAAGGCCTTCTGTAGCGAATTGATGCGTTTTTGTAAGAAAAATATCCATATTCAAAACGTAATAATCACTTTAATGTAGCTTGCGCCAGCAGTTGTACACAGAAACAGTTCCGGGAGCATGACGTATGAGGTCAGCGCTGCACATGTGCCGGTGCGTCTCGTGAAAACCAACGTTTGTTTACAGAATCAAAGGAAGCAAAGTTTCCTTACTTTAGCAAAGGAAAACCAGTCTCCTCTTGGCTTATATCAAAATCCTCTGACATTCTTCTTCACAAATCCTCGTTTTGTACTTAATACGTTTTGTAATAAGTGACCGTTGTTTTGTTTTGATCTCTCCGCTGCGCTTCCGCGTGTGTCACTTCTGAGCGGCGCATGCACAAAGCCGACCTCCATATGTCATCCGCAGAAGGCCTTTGTTCACCCCCGGAGCCGTGTGAGATACTTTTTTTTATGGATGGGCAATTTTTTCAAGTTTTCAAGTTCTTTTGGACTGAAGCAATTCAACACCCGCTGAATGGCATTAAACAGCTTGAAAGATCAAAGACCATTTTTAATATAACTCCGACTGGATTCGTCTGAAAGAAGAAAGTCATATACACCTAGGATGCCTCGGGGGTGAGTAAAACGCAGCTTAATTTCATTTTTGGGTGAACTAACCCTTTAAGGATGCTAGAGCATCTTATTTTAAGAATCTGATATCTGCCTGCAAAAGGAATCCTAAAACTCTGTTTGTGACTATTAACAGCATTGTTTCTCCTGTTACATCGCCTGTGTTTTCTAATGAAGACTGTAACCATTTTTTATCTCATTTTGTGGGCAAGGTTATGGCTGTCAGGGCTAGCATTGTACACTCAAAAAAATGTTTCGGTCTAAATTTACATTTTATGTAATTCAATTGCATAACAATTTTCCATCCATTTAGATTACATAGTTTTAACATAAACAAATCAATAAACTTAATGTGATTCATATGTGTCAGTCATACGTGAATGAAACTGGTAAGTTTTATGTAATAGTTCACAGCAAAGTCCCCACACTGCTCAGTGTTCATGTGTTTCCACACTACAGAGTGTTAAAGTAGCATTGAAGCAGTGCTGGAGTTAAGGAGATAATTATGTGCTGATTGAGCATTAATGATGAACAGCTGCTGTTAATAAGCAGAATCATCGAAGGAAAGAGAAACACAATAACTACTACTGACTTCAGCCACAGACGAAGATGAAATCAACTGATATATAAAAAAAATACATTAAATCTCTCAAGATCTGATTAAACAAATCCACAAACATCTTTACCAACTTCTCATTACTAACCAGATTCACTTTATTTCTGTCAGACGTCTAGAGAAGCTCTTATTGAGAATTAACAGAGGTTTAGATGTTATATTGTTTCATTTGAAATCACCATCAAGGAGATCAGTGTTTCCTTTTGTTGGGCTCCTGACCCTTGATTTTTTGGTGTTAATGTTATGCTGGTTGTTTTAACTGTGTGTTCATAAAAAGCAAGTTTAGCTTAGCTAGCAAAACCAAAAAAAAAAAATTAAGTTTTGGGCAGATGATCCACTGACCTCATTTGAAGTCCAATTTCTGATTAAATGAATGTTGTATTGCTTTATCATCGTTTATAGCTTCAGATCTAGTAGTATAGTAAAAATTGGATTTTCATCTGCAGCCACACTAGTGATGAGCGGATGGCGGTTATATCCGCGGGCGCTGCGGATAATCCACGGATCGGGTGGGTCGGGTAATAAAAAAATGCATTCTGATTATTTGCGGGTGGGTCGACTCAATGCAACAATGACAATTCTGTCAACTGTCCTGAAACGTGAACTAAAGTCTTCTATCGCAGCGTGCAGCAGCTCTAGATGCGTCGATGTGAAACGAAAGTCAAAGAGAGAAGACGCGGTACAGATGAATCACTTACGCTGTTTTCATCTGATGGTTTGTGTGGATTTATTTACTCATCTAACCTACACGCTATATTGAATAAAGGTTTTGCAGTAATTTCCCTCATTTTAAAGTCGAAAGCTGCGGGAATGAGTAATGCGATGTATGCGCAATCCCGCAACGAAATTCAGGATCTGATTAAACATAATTCTATTATACAGAGAATTGTGAAACAGATTTTCATGACTTTTCAAAAACTTTGAGTTTATTTATTTTCACAAAACTTTCTAGGCCTGGAAATTGCTGTTCAATGACTTTTCCAGGTTTTTTATGACCGATGATCGGGTGTGGGTCGTGTGCGGTTATCTAAATCAGACAAAAATACAGGTGCGGGCGGTTGGATAATTTATTTGAAGCTGCGGATTCGGGTGACGTTTTAGCTCATCCGCGCATCACTAAGCCACACATAAACCACAGACATCAAGAATCAGCATATGAAACTTAACAATGGTGAGTCAACAAAATGCTTCATGTTGCAATGCATGCTGGGTATCAGCATAGGGTATCAGCATAGTACAAGACTCTCCCATGTATCCCAGCATGCATTCTATACATTGACTCACTGGGGTCTCTAACCTGGAATACGCCCTTTAACATCCACAATGCAAAATAATCAGGCTCACAGAGAGAGAGAGAGAGATGAAAGGGTGAGACAATACAATTTAGCACACACTTCAGTATAAAACTTGCTTTAGTACAAAAAAAAGTTACACTTGGACAAAAAGTGATTTTCATTGTTATAATTGTCATTTCATATGTAATTGTAATTCATATGTTCACATGTAATATGTAATTATGAATACAATGGCAAAAACACCCTGTTAAAAATATTTTTATAAATTTAAAATAAGCAATAATTTCACCCCAAAACTGCACAAATATAGAGTAAAATCTATGAGAAAAATTATTATTATAATTTTTTCAAATCACTTTTTATTGTCTGGTGTAGCAAATTAGCTCAAAAGGGAAATATTTATAATTAATTATAACTGGTTATAATTAATAATAAATATTTAGATTAGATCTTAGAATTAACTGTAGCAGAATCAATATTATAATTATTTGATCTGTCCGTCCACCGAGCAGACAACATAAT